CCCCCCCCCCCCACTCCGTTGGCGCAACTGGGTCCAGACTGCGGTAAGTCGACGACGTTTTTTTTTCATTTCTCATGTCTACGCTGTTTTTATTAGTGACAAAATTACATCAATGTATTCAATCCAACATGCGGCAGACAGAGCTCTGGACCTCAGTCCAAACAAGATTTAAGAAATAAAATCTATGGGGGAGATTCTGCTTAAAATAGGTTGGCTATCCACCACTAACCCCTATACCCACCCTCTTGCAGGCGTTTCAGATTAAAACTTGTATGCCTTCAATTATCTGAATAACGGTCAAAGTGCAATCAACGGCGTATTGTTCCAAAGGGTATCAAATGGCAGCTGACCGCGAGCGGCCATCACCTACCCCTGTAAAAACGCATTGTGCGGGTGCGGAGGTGGGTCACGTCACCATAATGAAATCGGAAAATTGAAGAGCTGACATAACAACAAAACTAATCACCGTCTTCAAAGGAAGAATCGTCACGGGTTATTTCACACCAAAGCCCGTCTTCCCCATTTCTGTGGTCGTTTCTCCTTCATTCCTTTCATCAGAAATATGAAACTCGATGACTTCTGTACATGATAGAAAGTCAACCTTAGCTTTAACGATTGTTTTGTTAGATCGCAAAATTAGACTTGTAAACCGAGGTACAAGTTAGCTGTCCCCTTAAAGCACAAAACGTATCATTGGACAAGTGTAAGATAGACTCGATGTGAACACTGCTGACTAAAACTCACCTGACATAAGACGGTGGCCTGTCCAGGTTTATCCACGGTGAAATGATCTAGACCGTACAGTACGCAACATGTGTACAGAAATAACCCGGCCACAGTGATCAACATGTTGATATTGGGGCTCGACATCTTGACTATCCTGTAAGGCGAAAAGTGACATGGCATCGATAATGAGTTTAAATAACATTAAAGGGATAATAACTCTTTGTATGAGATTTATATTTCACAATAAAAACATTGTGAACAACTCAAAGAAATATAATATATTCTGTTTTACCACAAAAACGGCAGTTATAGCTATTATTCTGATTTTTGAGCTTGTCTTTAGACCACGTGACCTCCATTGATGGCTGTACTCTGGTAAAATCTCTTAAGAGATTTTAACAAAAAACCAAACCTTTTAGAAAAAAAACAGGGACTAACTTTGAATGTAAAAATGGATTCATTAACCATTGGTAAGTGTGGGAAAATTGTTGTTTACTCCAGGAAAATTCATTTTTTGGCCGAAACGAAGAGTTATTATCCCTTTAAACAAATTACCCTCTACGAGATTAGATTGGAGAGAACTTTAAAAAACAAAACCGTTGAAGCTTGCTTTAAAAGACGCAGAGATTACGAGAAGATAAGACTGTCAGGGAAATAGAGTCTTTTTATTAACAAACGACCTCAAACCAGCATGGTTTGTGGAATGCTTCGAACACAACTCACCTCATATTTCTGAACTTTATATTAAAGATGAGGAATGTGACGGCCATGATGACTCCCAGACCAGAGAGGACAGAGCCCAGGACAAAAGCCCACAGAGACACCGCCCGCGTGTCACCCCCCATTTCTCGTGGTCTACGGCACTGCTATTTCACTTCATTGATCTACAAAATAAGAAACAGATACTGAGCTATGAACAGGTAAGGCTACGTGGACTGAATGCAGGTTTGCAGTCGTTTTGTTGGCGGCCATATTGAAAAAAAGGTGTTGTTCTCGCATGGCGAGTGTTTGAAAGCGACACAGTACAGTTTGTCCATCCATCCATCAAAAAGAGAAAAGGTACGGTAACGGACACTGAAGGTCCGTACAGAAAGAAAAAATGTACTTTCGAAGTATACGTTCATGACTTACAGTGTATATCTTCCAATCTAAACCGTGTTTGCAACTGAATAGATTAAATGATTTAAAATGAAGCTGGTCGACGAAATGCCTGCTTCCCATTCGTAACCGTGAACTATTACATTTAGAGCTTTATAATGTACGCCCTACAATACTAAACACATTTTTACACCGATGTTTCTAAATAAGGATTAAGTTTCAAAATAACAAACAGTATGTTGAGCAATAACATAAAAAATGAATGGAAACTTTAGTATTTATTAGTCATTGTTTGTAACTTAGTTTCAAGGTGTGTGTACGAAGTTAAATGGCGTGTTCCAGTGAAATAGAATGATTGTAGATGTTGGATCTTATCAATGGTTTTTCTTGATAATCTTGGCATTTGAAAGAGTGTCTTATATTACGTTTTAAACATGCTGACAGTTAACATATGATTGCTGTGTGTTATACGCAAGAGTCACGTAATACTTAGCTAAATTTACTGTGTCAAGGCTGCTTTAAAGTTTCGTCCAAGGTTAAATAGTACTGTAAGAAGACGCTCTTGCAGTGGAAGTGCTCGATCATCAGACTCAACGAAGTGAGAGAGAAAAAACAAAACACTTATGATAATGTTGATATAAACTGAAGCTTAGCTCCTACCTTCAAGCGTCACTTTTGTAAGAAATATTATATTTCACTTTTAGACGAGTGATTGTCTCACCGTGGTGTCAATTCAAAAGTCTACTTAATGATAGTTAGGAATAAGGTCCAAATAGAGGTACAAAAGATAAGACAAGAAATATGTAACAGAGCTGAACTTTTGATCTGAAAATTCGGCAGTTAGAATTTATCACCTAAAGTATAGATTCAGCAGTGTCAATAAAATCATGCAGGACATCTGTGAAAGGTGTGGATATTATTGATATTGTTTCTTGATTGATGTAGGGATTGGAAATTAGTTAAAGAGGAGTTCCTAGCCATACTCGGATTAGCAGCGCCAAGAGACAGGACCGACCGATGTACCAGTAGTGTATATAGCGCAAACCATTGAATCTCCAGACTGACGGTGCCAAGGAAAAATACGCAACTCGTAACAAACAAAAAAGTCATTAAACTGCAGAAAAACTGAAAAACCACTTAAATTTTAATGACCCACGAAAATTTAAAACGCAGGTGAAATGACTTTCACGTCGAGAAAGAAAAACAAACATTAAAACAAGCGCGGTTGAACTTTTCATGACATCACCAGGGTTAATGGCGAGAGTTTTAAATGCACTTCCAGGAGAAAAGACTTTCAGGTTTGATTATTTGTTAAATACATGTATATAACAAAAATGGATGTAAGGATCCCTGGATTTAAATAATTGCGTGCATTAGATACATGTATATAAATAAAAAATTAAAGTTGATTATTATATTAAAAGCAAAATACAGTGATACTTGAAAAATGATGATTCAAATGAAAATGGAAAACAAATGATCTGTATTACATATCTGTAGAATGGTAGAATTAGTAGGGCACTAGAGGTCCGTAAGAGTTTGATCAATGGGTGTGTGTGTTTGTGTGCGTGCTAGCTATCGTGCCCGCGTGCGTCAGTCAGTGGTAGCGTCATATAAGTACGAGGTTTCTATTGTTTATTTTTGAAAAAAAATTGAAATTTTGAAATCAAATAAAACTCTTGGCTAAAAAGTGAACAAGCATCTAGCCACTCTTGAGGCACATCCAAATTTTATATCAAGTCGGAGAAGGAATGTTTGCTGTCACCATGGCAACAGGATACTTTCCTATTGTTGGCTGGTGGTCAGTTTTCTCCGTCCTGTCAGTGAGGCACCACGAGAACGTGATTTATTGTTTCTGTTTCAATGACTCTTTGACTAAGAGGGGCCATTTTTCTTGCCATCTGTCTAATTCTTCTTAACGAATGAAGAAAAGGACACATGCAGCATACAAAGACTGGGTAGATTAGTTTCAAGTCATCATACCTAATACACTTCAAATGTTCTAACGGCACAAACCATATGGGTCTTGGTACACCTAGTAGATTTTGATCTAATAAAAATATTAAAAACAAATCCTATTCTAAAAATTTCCACCAAATCGAATTTTCCCGAATTATTTTCCTACTCGCAGTTATAAGCTCGACCAATTGGATTCGATGTCTTTTGTCATTGTGATTAAAAAAATATTATAAGCCACCTGCCACTCACTTGGACTGCCATATTTTCCTGGACATCACAGAAAGAAATATCGACATCAGGCATTTTGATTTGAGATGTCTTTATCGTTTTAGATCAGAATTGGGTGAGATAAGCAGTTTTGTAGGTTACGTAGGCTTAAGATTTTATTCTAGGACATTTTCAAACGTGGATAGTATATACCTTTAAGTAGTACATGTATTTCACAGTGATCATAACCTGTAACAAAATAAACAATGATAACTAAAATACACATGTATAATACAAAGCATTCAAAAACAGTTTGCATCTCATTAATTTTGTAATTTTTTTCTTAACGGTTAGCGCCCACGCATAGCTTCTTACACACCTGCAAAAGGTGTTTATATATCAGCTCTTTTGTCTAGGGCGCAAAACTTCAGTTACCGAATAATAAAGAAGAAACCTTTCTTTAGATGAAATTGCAACTAAATAACGAAACAGATACAAAAAGATGGATGCAAAAGCTACTTTACATATAAACTCAAGTCCATACCAACTGCATATATGATTAAATTCTCACTGCGTCGTCACTTAAAGAAATTAAATATATACATGTGTTGTGTGATTTTCATTGCGTATTTTCTTTGTTGTCAAGTATCTATCTATCTTTAGTTTGGGTTGTCAGCTGCATTTACTAACACGACACACACGTTGGCACGTTTCATATATTGTATGTCAACTGAATCGCTAGTATCTTAATAATATTTTCTTTTGAAAGTCGTAGGCGTTTTGCCAAGATGACTGTTGTTTTCTTCCAGCTTTATTCCAAAACGCTGTGTCACTAGTATATTTATGGATGTATTCATTTTTTGTTACAGTATTTTTTCAGAATCACCTGCTATTTAATACACACGTATACCGACATCGAATTAGCTACAATATGAAAGAGAGAGGGGAGAAAAAGATGCCCTCTGTTCCCCTGGTAGTGTAATTTGACTGCCCTAAAAACGTGTGTTGTATTTGCTTCGTTTGTCCTTGTATTGATTTGTACGTGCGGTTTTATCTATAGCTAACATACCGTCATCTTCTACAAAAAACAACATGCTGTCAACAATTCACATTGTGAACATTTTGATAAAAAGAAACTGTGACATGTCAATGAAATGCTACAAAATACCTAAACCAATGTGAATCTAATGAGAAATGTAGATCTTTTGGCAAGCTTTGCAATATCGTAACGATGCACACGCGCGCGCGCGCACACACACACACACACACAAAAGGAGAGAGAGAGAGTTAGTAACACCAAAACTGCTGCTCCACAATTCATAATTCCACTTACTGTTAACGTCTAAGTTTTCGTGGCGCTCACCTTTAATTGCGTGTTCGTTTTGCTCTCTTCCGTACCTCATCTCGTAACTGAGTCATTCATTCACATAAGAATATAGTATGACAAAGGCACATACCGCAAAACATCTCACAGACAGTGGAATTCAGTCTGGTTCATAGTTCTCTAATATTCTTAAAAAGAATACGGTATCTCTAAGTAACAGAAAAAAAAAAAAGATAAATCCGTGCTTCGCGTAAGCCGCAATGATTACGACTGCAGTGGATCATCCGATTGCTTTGAAATTAGAGTTATGAGGCTAGAAAAAGGGGGACATGAACGCGACAGAACTGATCTCAAATATCTTGCATGTTTAAGAGCGATTTCACGGCGAATAGCTGGCAGGAAAAATCCCATGTACACGGCGCTGCCTGAGGTGTTGAATATTGTTGAAGTCGAATATCGTCTTCACAATTAGCACTGTACACTGAAAACAATGATAAAAGCGTAATTGCGTTTTGGGCGGGTTGACCAAACTACATTGCTATCTCTCTACATTATTTCCCAAGCTAAAATGCCGTATTTACACTAGCGAATGTACTGAAGACATTTGGTATGAGATATAAGTCTTCTGAGCAACTTCACATAGGCGGTGAGATAGATGCAAAGAAATCAATTTCGGTAGGCACATGTATATTTCAAACTAATGTACATCTATACTTTGAGGTAGTCTACCTGGCTATTTTAGAAACTATGTTAGAGACACCGTGGTTTTACATATACTCTCATGAAACACTGAAACACAGTATACTGGCATGGTGGGGTCTTAAAGTTTAACAAGATGCTTATCTCATTTTTGGATTAGCGTGCTTTGTTTTGCAACGTCTTCATGCACACATTGGACCTTTGAACTGATATCCCCGCAGATTGCGGGTTCATCAAGTGCAAATGTGTCACGTGATGTAACTTAACAACAATGTGAGATTCCTTTATGGACAATTACGCCACAATACGGGATACATTGTTTATCTAAGTTGAAAATGACTATCATTTTTGTCGCGCCTGCATACACAATTCTCTATGACCTAAACATCAAGGTAATTTTTTTTAAATGTAAAAATGCGTTAAATGCTTACTCAAGAAATAAATCCATGTGTGGAAGCTTTTTATAATGCCCCGCAGCACGTATTATCTTACAAATGATCAATTGTTCATGCTAAAACAATGCCTTTATGAGTGAAATGCAGGCAATGAATACCACTGCTCTCAAAATCTTATCAGTATCTGAAGCAAAATGACGCTTTTAAATACATTTCAGACATTTCACTGTCGCATTTTCAAACAAGCGTACAATCAAAAGCAACAATGCAACTGTGGAATATTCAGCGATTTTCCTCCTGTTATATTACGATGGTTTTGCAGAAAAAAAATAGGTGCGGTTTTGGCAAGGGGTTAATTCCTTCGGTGACGTACCCTCTTAAACCGTGACATTTCTTCGTAGGAGGTCTAACCCTCCTGGCCACAGCGATACACATCTGTTTTCTGCTTCAAACTGTTTGTTTCCATTGTATATAATCTATAAGGCATCAGATAATGTGAGAGAGCGCTCCCTCATTTGATATATGCGCTGCATACATAAACAATACATAAACATTTCATAAACTTCTACAATGTATCCTGTCCTTATTAGCTTTACCTTATTAATTTCAAGTCTAATTTCAGAAAGGAAGTGCTTGATTGAAAATTCTCGTTGATTCTTCCCAATGGTGAAAGCGATCTGTTGTGGCTAAAAAAAAAGGCCAACTCTTTCTATTTCAACTGCACTTAATTGACCCCAAATTCCTTCCAAAATCTACAGTTTTAATCGTACACGCACTGGCGATCAAATGAAATATGTTGATCGAAACTGCCCCATGAAGAAAGGTTCGAATCTGTTTGAATGGCGAAAGAAGATGCGTCTTACCTGCCCAATTGATGATAATGCTATCTTAAAAAAAAACGTCTAGATTAAACGATGTGTATTGAATTTATGCACAATATTTCTCTTTTAAATTGGCATAGGGTGAAAGACGAGGCAATATTTCAAACAAACATATCAATCTGGGTTTTATCCAATTCATCATCAGTGGAAGTTATGTAGTAGAATATTTATCCTCTGATTCGAGAGACCATATTTTCACAATCGTCCCTCGCTTTCTGAATTGGACCGATCCCGAACCATACGCGTTTCACACTGCACCGTTTGCCTTTTAGTTTACTTCGACAGCACATAATAGGAAGTATTCGCAAATATTTTCGGAATACATTAAACATTTGAACAAGCTGCGCACTTTCTTCGAATGGCCACTTTTGGCTTTTAACGTCTTGGCCATTATTCAGACGACCCAGCTGTTTGCTCTATGTGCAGGTGTTGACACGATGTTGACAAATTGGTGAACGCTGTGTTCATTGAAACGCGCTCCCTTCTAACGACAAATGCTACAGTATTTATACATGTATTCTGAGCCTCCCTTTTTCTTTCTTTCGTTATTTATCCATACTTGACCTTCCTTCCTTTGTTTTTATTTCACCTTTTCTGCGTAATGCAATCATAATTTATTTTCCCTTCCCCTTGGCTTAATTCCCTCGATAAAATACTGGGCTATGTATCTATATTCTACTTCATGTACCAACTTTCTCTCTACTCTTCTAAGCGCTTAATTTCGTTTGTCATTCCTACTTTTATATCTTTTTTATTTCTTTTTCAAAAGTACACTCAATGTTCACTGAAGACAAACCTATCAATAGAATCAAGAGCTATCTTCTGACCAGAGGAAGCAGTACTAAGTCACGCGATTCCATCAAAGAGGTGTACCAAAACAACCCTACTTGCGGTGAAAAATAATAACACTACACCTTTGTCACTCCAGCAAAACTATTATTAGTAAAAATATGGTTTATGATCACGGCCAATCATATATTATCTTCAAGGAGATTGACTTTAACTTAAATATGTTCCTGAGGCTTAATAGCACGAGTCACGAAGAATGCCTTTTTTCTTTTTGTCGCAGTAGCACATCGATTCCTCTAAGTAAAGATAAGCCATCAGATAACGTTATTGCACATCAAATTCACGCACGCAAATGCTGTTTCAATATGTAATTGACACGTATTGATGAAATAATGCTATTTGTTTTTGTATTTCCTCTATTTAAGGTTCACCCACACGTCCCCGCAACGAAATGAACTGCTTTTATGTCTGTTACCACTGTAACTGTTTTCCATAGTTAATAGTTACACTTTTCATTGAGGCCTTAATCAAGGTGACGTGAACACTTCACTTATTCCAGAATAAGAAACGTTGCTTTCAAGTCTTCACTTGTAAGAGAGAGAGAGAGAGAGAGAGAGAGAGAGAGAGAGAGAGAGAGAGATTGCGAGCGCGCATGTGTGTGACAGAGAGAATGAGCAACCGCGTACGCATATGAAAATCATAACTTAAGCTTAATATACAACAGCACGACATTCCCAACGGCTGGTGAACAAACGTGAGATACTTTTTGGCACCACTACTATCACTTTCACTGTAAACCACACAACTGCTGACTACTTACTAGTTCTGCTTTTTCAACATGCATTCAATCCACTGAAACTGCTGTCAATGTATCCAAAACACTTTGACTGTTACTGCTACCGCTATCACTAGCATTGTCGATTGCAAGGTAATGGACCGGCTGTATACTAAAGCCTTAAGCGAGAGGCGTCTGTTTTACATATACGCACTTTACCTACCTCATTTAGCATATTGTTAACCGCAGATATTTCTGCTTAACCACAAATCCGACTCTCCTTCACCTCTCAGTGCATTGCGTCACAAAGTAGGCCTCTCTTTTTGTTATTATCCCTTTCAATGGATGCAAATATCTCAGCGTTAGTAACAAAACAGTTTTTTTTTTAATGGGGTATACATCTGATTATATTAATATCAAATATAAACTAAACTTAAATGAAATAAATGCGATAAGTTTCCAAAGAATGCACTGAATATGACATTTATCTTTTTTTTTCCGATTCAAATCCCATAAATGTCACTGCACTGCAACCTTTCCGCACTGGTGTCCGATAAAACTTTTTGAATTCTAATGTGACACGTGTGACAGCGGGAACATGTCCAACTCTTTGCTTTTAAGGTATCACATTTTCTCCCGATCAAAACCAGTACAGGTACACCTAAATGTTTAACCAAGTCTTTTAGTCTTTTGCCCCCTCCCCATAGCAAAACCTTGCATCAGCCAACATTCTGATGATCTGAATAACACTGCACAAACACACTGTCTTCTTTCATATCACATTTCATAGAGTTATCTCTGGGTAAAAAAGTTTACATTTTCAAAAATATCTTCCAAGGAGCGACGTCAGTAACCTAAAGACCATACAGTTTAACTTACACTTGAAACACTTTTAGCCTTAAGTTGAATTATGTGAGCCTTTGATGCACATACGTAAAAATATACATTATGGATATATATGTAATCCTTAATCGTTCATTTTTGTATCTATTAACTCCATATAATTTTTGACATGTCGATTTAGCTTATGTAAACGTCATTATAGGCCTTTTCAAGGCAAAAAAAATGAACACCGTGTATAATTCCATGAATTATCAGCTGGACCAATACTGCATGTTCCATCAGCAATATAGGTAATCCGATACGGTTACAGACCCAGGTACAGTTGACAGCAATTAAGAGTTGACACTGCTCGGTCATCGAGTGAGAGTAAACAGAACGGACGCCGCTAACAGGCTTAGGGAACGGACGTCAAGTACGGGCCGAATGTTTTAAGAGTTGTTAGCCAAGCGGCACTTCAGTTTTCTGTAGTCATTTTTAACTCTTTAATTTGGGCGATAAGAGTTCCATCAGTAGTTCTACAGTTTACAGCATAAAAAGAAGCTTAGCAAGAAATAAATAAAAAAAGAAAGAAGTAGGTTTATAACATATACAATAAGCATAGATTATGATCTCATATTTGTGCATCTGAAGTCTGATCAAACAAAATTGACCGATAGTGTTATCACCAAGCATGATGTTAATCGAAGATGGTAACTGATTTTTCCACGGATGAGAGAAAAGGAAACGTCGGTTGAAGGAGGTGTTGCAACTGTTGGATGGTTTCTGTGTAGATATTGACATCCAGGGTAAATGATGTAGTAAAAAAAATTAAAAGCCCTAAGATTTCGATCAATTTGTTGTTTTCCACACCGTCTTGCAAAAGGGGGGCGTCTCGATAGTCCGAAGGTTCATTGGTCCGAAGGTTCATTGGTCCAAAAAACGGTAACATTTTCATCGGTTTTTTAATCAAGGGTTCATTGGTCCGAAGGTTCTGTAGTGAACATTCGGACCAATGAACCTTCGGACTATTGAACCTTCGGACTATTGCTACGGCCCCTGCAAAAGAACATTTTCACCTATTAATTAGGGTCTATTGTGTAAAGTTATTCACTCGGTATATGGACCTACCAGTATGTCCTCGAAATTCGGATCATCACTTAAACGAAAGCGCGTGATCGACTCGCATTTTCTAACGACTTCTTTCCCAAACGCAACCTGTGAATTCAGTCGAATCATTAGGCAAAATATTTGACCTGACTTTAAAAGAAGCTGCTCAAAATGAAAAATTATTTTCCCGCCTTTTTAACAATGCGTAACAAACAAAATATGCAATTCTATATGGTCCTAATTGCAGTTTCCTACAACATAAGTTTTGACAACGGTCAGGAAATAATAGCTAATGACTTTTCGCCGAGGAATTATAACGCAAGATGAGACGTCGCGCATGCTGGTTAAGTTTGCGTGCGCTAAATTTATGAAACGCAGTGTCATCATAAAAGAAACTTGAGAACCAACAAAAAAACTAGTCGTACTGGGAGTAGGCACATTTCAACAAAGGTTTACAACGGAATATGATCTGTAATATGGAGCAAAGATAAACCTCGACATATGTTAAGCAATCAAAATGCATGTTTGACGATTTGGTAATACTGGTATCAAGGAATATACGTGCCATCACCACAAAATACATGTACACAAAAAAAAAAAAAAAAAAAAAAATACGCGTGTGAGTCGCTGTAGAGTTTTAACTTTTTTCAAGGTGGTGTGCCGCGAAAGATGATAAGTCAAAGGTGATATCGTGTAACAGACTTGTTAATATTCCTAATGGTTAAGTTGCGTGTTGCAATGTAATGTTACCATTCGGACTTCTGTTTTCCGTGGAAAACAAAGGTGAAGAATGCGGGATGGTTCTACAAAGGAAGGTGGGGAGGGAGGGTCTTAACAGTTTTTGAGATTGCACATCCTGTTGTTATCTATAGTAAAATTATAAATACGTATTGCAGTATACAGACATTTACTAAAAGATCGTTATTGATCGAAGATGTTCGTACATGTAGCGTCCCTCTTCTATAGGCACACAAGGGCCGGCTTGTTACCGAATATCAATTAAAAGTGGGATATATTACACAGGAGGAGTCATTGCTATTCATTTTCTTCTTTTGCTATCCATGTGAGCCTTCTCCACGAAATATATATCTTTCCTTTTTTATTAAACACGCAACACACACACACGCACACACACACGCACACACACACGCACACACACACACACACACACAGTCGCATACGCACTTACACAAACACACAGGCATGCACAACACAGACACAATCACATACTCTTACTGCACATACTTAAGCACGTATCCATACACGAACACATGCGTGTACATGCCCACATTGCATTCAAACATCTAGTCGGATTAGACCCCACGGAAAATATATCTAACGTTACTTTCATCACACAATACCTAGCACCAACTTCCTCGATCTTTGGCCAGTGTTACTTCACAAGTCACACCGGCAGAATAAACGCTCAACCGATCTCTACCAGGTACACATCAAATCCATCTAATTTGGTGAAATAAAAGGAATAAAAACTACACATATGGCGATAAAGTGAAAATGACCTTGAATATCTCCTGTCTGATTTCCTGAGTGAGAAAGATAGCGACAGTAGGCCCATTGTTCCAGGATAGATACAACGATATATCAATTCACCCTGAACAATGGGTATATAGCCGAAGTTGCATTAAATATCAAACGCGACAATCAGCATTATTTATGGTTCTTTTCTCACATGCGCTTTTCCGACATCCATCATCAAGTTGTGAACATTCTTTGGTCACGGAAATGTTTGTCGTTAAGACTTTTTATCTCTACAGTTGCAACTTTAAATGAATAGTGATGTGGAACGAGGTGGGGGGTGGGGGGGGGGGTTGAGGTTGGGGGGTGGGAAGAGTTTGCTTAAGCTTTCAACACCAACACCAATGCACTGATAAGATGTGCTTCTCATCGTTTAAGCCTTGCTACACATGTACCGGTACATGGGTAATTTTACAAATGGCTACATGGTTACATTACAGGATCCTAGGATAGTTTACTTGTCATCCCCGACCATTAAATACACAAGGTCGAAATGATAACAATAATAATGATTATAACTTAGATGAAATAAAACAAATGACAGTCTTCTAGAGTACACAAATCCACAGGGTAACGATTGGTTTCATGTGGTTATGTCTGGGATTTCTTTATTTTTTTCCACCTGTATCATTCCTTATTTATCTCTTTTATCTATTATAGGGAATAATGCTTGTACGATTCTGGCAAGTGGGTTTGATCATTCAGAGCCTCAATAAATCCTCGTCGCAATTACTTGGCAAACAAAATCCTACAACTCTTCTTCTCAGCGGTTTCATGCAGATCTTCTGCGCGAGTTTCAAATTAATAAGACGAACTAATTTCATTTGGGGGTTCCGACACTATTTGTTTGACTGTTGTCTAGACCGCACCGTTTTGTTTTTCCAGTCTTTAAATCTAATCATTGTAATAATCAAGCAAATAACAGGAAATGGGGTTTGATTATTTCTCTTTCTTTAGCAACCTTTACCATATAAGAGTGTCGACGTTTTGACTGTCCACAGTCTCTTCCTACTGGAGATAGTTGCGCCATTGTTCACTTTCTTAATTTTTGTTAAATTACATATACATGCACTGGTAATACAATCAGACCATAAAACTGAGGCCTCACATATTCCTGCATGCCTCTTCTTCCTGAGTAATGTGTCTCAAGGTGTGTTCAGTATCCACTGGTATTTGGGGGGGGGGCTGGGGGGGGGGGGTCCACTAAGATACTGTACAAAATTACACCATTGGCTTCTCAATATTTTTGTAACAGACTACTAGCGCACCCTGCAGTCAGAAAGAATGTTCAGTTTACGTCTTAACTAAAATGAAAACGAGCCTGAAACGCGTCCCTTGTTTTTAACCAGCTTATTAAACCTGAGATATGCAACGTATACCACAATGGTGTGCATTTGTAGCACTGCCCTCGCTCCCCGCAGAGAGACCCTCACTCGGCACAATTAATTTTCAGAAACATTTCAAAATAATCCGATCGTCTTACGCAGTAAGTTAATCCTTTTTTAAATCAAACGTACTCTTGACATGGACAAGCGTTTATGCCGTAAAATTGCCCGATAATCTTACCTTGCAGGTCAGGTATGTTCATTGACCCCGTGCAATGAAGGTCTAGAAAGCTGGATCGTTGTTTTGAGTAGGTTGTAAACTTTCTTCCCTTTACAGATGTGTGACACCCAACGCAAAACTAAATGCAAG